GAGAGCGACGCCGGCGCGGCCGAGTCCGGCTCCGAGGTGGGCGAGCTGGGCGCCGACATCCTGTCCGTCGTCCTCTCGCGCACCGCCAGTTCCTGTCGCAGGTCTGCAAAGGAGGGAGGGCGCCGGCAAACCCAGTCACGCCCACTTCGCCGGCTTTTTTAAATTTTGCTTTTGGCGTCCATACCTCGCGCTTCGTCTTTGAGTCGCTGCACCGACACCAAGAGGGATTCCTTCTCGTCCAGCTCGCTCTCCAGGAAGGCGTTTCTCTCGATGGCCTGGTTTAAGCGGCCCTCAAAGTCCTCCAGGGACACGATGGTTGCCCTGAACAGCCCAAAAAAAAAAAATCAATCAATCAAGAATCAGCCGATCAATAACAATGGCCACCTTTTCGAATGTGTTTGTTTTTAACGGTCATTTGTTCGCCTAATCCGTGTTCAATGAAATCTCAATGCGACATTTCCTCCATCGAGTCTCGGTCCTCGGGAAGTCGGCAAAGGGCTGAACCGAGGCCGCCGGCCTCGACCGGTGGCCTCCAACGTGTTGTTTTCTACAAGTGACTCGGCAAGGATGCAAATTTGACGGCCAGGAAAGAGGAGGAGGAACTCGGCGCTCCCCATGGAAAGGTTTTCGATGGCCACACGTTGGCGCCAAAGCTCCACTTCTGGAGGTAAACGCCGGGTTCATTCAAGACGGCGAAATCTCTGCGGGTCGGTCGCAAGCGGGTCGGGGGGCACCTCTTGGCTCTTTCCAGGTCGTCGTTGGCCTGCTCCAGCTTGCGCACGGATTTGTGGAGCTGCTCCTTGACGCTGCGCGTCCGGCCCAGGTCGTCCTCCAGCACGGAGATCTGCTGGTAGCTCTGGGCGTGCTGCTTCTCCAGCTTCTCCTGGACGGACGGACGGACAGCCGCACGGCGGCGAGTTGGCGTCTCGCGAGGAATCGCGCGTTTGGAGCCGAGGCGTGGGGACTGGACTTTGTGAAGCGGAGTCCCGCGACGCCGGCGCGGGACTTTGCGGATCCCCCCCCCGAGGTTTACCTTGAGGTTGTCCGCCTCGCTCTTCAGCCGCTCGTTCTCGCTCTGCAGGTCGCGCAGGCGCCGTTCGGCCTGGCCCAGCTGCGCCTCCAGCTCGGCCTCCAGCTCTTGGCTGCCCTCCTGGAACTCCTGCAGCTCCTCCTGGGCCTCGCGGCAACTGCACGCAAACGCACGCGCTCACGCATACGCTCATTGTGACGTGACTTGTGACGCGAGGGGCGCTGACGGCAAATGAAATCATTTGCAAGGGATTTCCTTCTGCTAAGTGGGGCTTGGCCACGCTTGCCGCCATCATTGAACTGCCTTCATTCGAGCGCTCGTCTTGCATTCCACTCCACGAAAATGAGTGAGCGCGAGTCACTTTTTTGAACAAGAGTCACGAGAGGGTCATACACGTCGACAACGCCGATGGATGGTGTTTTCGCTCCTCTCTGCCCGCAGCTATGTTGTTGGCGGAGGCACTAAATTCGAAAAAAAAAAAAAAAAAAAAAAGATTCCAAGGAAATCACCCCGAGAAATTTCAAAATGAGTGCAGGAAATGGATGACTCGGAACGCAGCGCGGAACGACGGCGCGCTGACGACACGCTGACGTCCTCCAAGCGGTTGCGGCATGGCCGGGGGCTGCCCGGTCAGCGCGCTCTGCCCTTTTAGCACCCAAGTTTCAGATGACGCAAACGGCACGCGGGCGTTGAGAGCGTTCGATGCCCAAGGTCGGAAGAGAAGTGCGCCATTTGCATCAGAAGCTGGCCCGCGGCGTTAAAAGAGGTGACGACTTAGCGTGGAGTCATTTTGCTCCGGAGCAAAGCAACGCAGCGCACGCGCGGATTTCACAATGCTTGCCTCGTCATTGGCTCGAAAAGGGAAGACAGCTGCAGCTGGACACGCCTGAAGCAACGCCTACCTTTGCTGATACTTCAGGGCTTGGGACTTCCAGTAGTCCACTTCTTCATCCTTTGTGGAGAACTTGGGTATCATCTCTGTGTCCATGTCAGGACTTCCTGAAACAGAGACGTTAGCGTCAAGGTCGGCGTGCGGTCCACATCTCAGGTCATCTTCCGTTGGAGCGTCTTTGTCTTGCACTGAATTTTTACGAACAATGTGCCACGTATTTAAAAAAATGATTCTACAAGGCTTGGGGAGAGAGATTTTGCTTGGAAGTTGTTGTTGTTGTTTTTTTTGTTTTTTTTTAAATCAAATTATTGAAATGAATCGCTCAATTGCGGCAAGGCTGATAACACACAACTCTTTATTTTTGAATGTGTGTTGGCGCTAACCTACACCAACGGAGCACATCCCCATTGGCCCGAGCACGCCTTTCTATAAACTCAATGAATTGTTCGCTTCATAGCATCGGTATTTCAGACGTTTCCGATGTGGCGATTGCAAACGTTACCAAGGCCACAGTCTAAAAGCAGCGCCAAAACCAAGATCACTTCTTTGAGTCGCCCCACAATCAACGCGTGCCACTCGATTTGATTTTGTCATCCACGAAACGTGGCCCTGGGAGGACTTGAGCTTTGGGGAAAATGCCCCCGCCGCGTGTAGCAGGCGCTTCTTGCGTTCCTGCGGCAAGCCAGATGAAAGATGTCAAGAAGGGCGCCACTTGACAGACAGCGTCCTTCTGTCCAAATTCACCTTGAACGCTATAGTGGAACATGGACTTGTACAGGGAGGGAGTGGTGTGAAAAAACATCCATGTCAACATGGATGGGTGCTTTCGCGCCTTTCCAAACACGCGACAAAACAATGTTATACTAATGACTCAGGCAAGAGAAAATCCAACACCGACAGGAATGAATTGATGGTGTTGAAAAAGCTCGAGTTTTGTTTTGCCACGCGTTTCCCGTGGTTTCAACACCCGACATTTTTTCCCCCAGGGAAAAAACATCAGCGACTCCATCTTTCTGGCATTGCTTTCTCTGGGGAGGCGTGTTGGAAAAAAAAAAACTCAAATTTGGGCTTTTTAAACACCTGACATTTTTCACACTAAGTTCAAACGGGAGGTTATTAAGGGAATGGCGTTGGGGGGGGGCGGAGAACCCTCCTGACCCACTAGGGTACACGTCTTACGAGAAGCGACATGTCGAGTGTCAAGCGTTCACTGTAACTGAGTAGGAATTCGGTGTGCCAAGTCGCTGTCCGTTGGGGGCCGGTTCACATTTCGATCCGATTTCAACATTGCAACGCACCCGGCACGCGACGTCTCAATTTAGCCCGAAAGGCCACAGTCGCGCGAGGGGGGGGTGGGGGGGGGCGTTGGAAAACGTCCGTGTCAGCATTTCCAAACAAATCAACCAGTTGGAGCGGACGACGACAAAATACGGCCCCTTTTGTCACAATAAACTAGCGAAACCGCGGTTGGCTCGAAGCGCCGCACGGTACGAACCGCTCCAAATGTCAACTCGGGAAACGGAGACGGGTTACCTGTTCATGACAAACGGCTGCCAAATGCTTGTCGAATTTTCCCGGCTCGTTCTATCCAAAGGCCGCTCACAAACACTCGCTGGTCACCCCCCCGGCCTGGCACCGCCGGTTCGCTCGGCTTCGACTAGCTAGCCGTCTCGCCGCTTGTGTTTCGGAAATTGCCAACGCGTCTCCCGGAAGTGACGTATATCGACCGAGGCGCGCGTGCTGTGACGTTTCAGGCTACGTCACCATACACGTCAGCGTCACGATGGCAATCCGGAGCCGCGCCCTACTACCGCATAACACCGCCAGACGGCGCTCGACTCCAATTTGCTCACAAAACAGACGTGACGGTTTCATTGGACAAAACAGACACTCGGGCTTTTGAAGAAATCACGCGTGACCATTTTTCATCACACCGCGACGCCATTTCTTCAAACCGCAGTAAAACATCCCGTCAAAGTCTGTACACGTCTGACAGTGCCAATCCCAAATTCTCCTTCTCACTTAAGAGTGAGGTCACAAATCGAAATGAATGTCTTCTTCTATCTCAACGCAGCACCGTGGTTGAACAGAACCTTCTGTCACCGATGGGATTTCGTCATCTGTTGACAGGATAAGATCGCTGTTGTTCACCCCACCCCGCCCCGGGCCACAGGTGGCAGGCCCTGTTCTGCAAGCATCGGCGTCGTCCCCGCCCAGTGAGGAGCGAGGAACGCGGAGGAGCAGGTGAGGTGGCGGGGGTAAGACGCACAAACACGGTTCCTGTAACCGCATCAACTCACCTATGTTCTATTTTCCATGTCACTCCACAAGGATGACGAGCCCCCGGGGGACACGCGCGAGTGCCCGGTGTGCTTCGAGAGCCCGCGCGGGACGGAGAGAACGCTGAGCTGCGGGCACGCGTTCTGCCACGACTGCCTGGTCAAGTTGCTGCTCAGCATCCAGGTCGAAGGTCAAACGCGGCACACCCTGGCCTGTCCCGTGTGCAGACACCTCACCTTCATCAGGAAGCGGCAGAACGAGCCGCCGGCCTTGGCGGAGGGCAAGGGGGAGCCAGAGGAGGACGCCGAAAGAGGAGGGCAGACTTTGGAGGTGCCCGCGGGCACGCCGCTCACCCGGCTGGACGACGACAGCGACGAAGCCGCCCCCGCCGCCGCTTCCCTCTCCGGGCGGGTCCGGCGATTCTTCTGCGGGGACAGCGAGGGCCCCCATCGGCCGAGGCTCGTCCGGCCGAGTCCGCGCGGCAGCTCGGAGGTCTTCGTCATCGACGCCCGTGGGAGACCCATGACGGAGGACGACGCCTTCGGCGTGGTGCTGACGGCGGTGCGGCGGCCGAGAAGGCGCGGGCGCCGGCTGTGCAGCACGGCTCGGTGCCTCGCGGTGCTGCTCTCAGCCTTTACCACGATGGCACTGGTGGCCGCCGTTCTGCCATGGATCCTATTGGCCTAATTCGGAGTCGGTGGACCGCGACGTGCCGTACATGAACAGCTACAGACAAATCGCTCACTGTACTTGGGTGGAAGTGCACAAACTTGTGTACTACAACAACAACAACAACAACAACAACAACAACAAAAAGACTCCAAAGCTTCCAAAATGTGGGAAATGGGAAAAGGGAAACAGAAAAAAAGCACAGTGTTCCCAAAGAGACGACTTTTTACGTTTGATCATTTGGCACAGCATGATATCAGGCACTATTTGATATTTATGGACAGACCTTTGTGCACAGCAAACACAAAGATCGAGCGGCCCGAACGGCTGAGGTGACTCGGACATGGCTCTTCCATCCGAAAACCCTCACTTCCTTCCAGGCCCAGGCAGGGCATGTTTTGTGTCCCCGCCCCTGGACTTTGAAGTGCGACTTGCGTGATTGCACCACGCCGAGATGGAAGCGCTCAACTTTACCTGGTGTGTCATCCCGCCAGGCCAGTCTTGCAGGTCCCCCGCGGGGAGGTTTCCACTCGCCCAAGCGCGCCACGCCTCGATGAGCCACAAAATCGGCGGCAGTGTTGCGACACCTTTCTTGGAAAAAGTCACTCGGTTGCTTCAATTCAGTTCGAGTACACGCTGACGTATTCGACTTGCAGTCGACGGACGCCTCCGAGCCCGCTCAGCGTAAAAATCACGGCCGCGTTTGCCACAAGTGCATTTGAAACTTTTCACGACGGAAATCAAACAAAGACAACCCTTGTGACAATTCACTTCATTTCAATCAAAGAATCAGGAATCTTTTCTGGATTTCACTCAGCATCAATGCCAATTTCGACCTCATTTCTAGATTAAAAAAAAAAATGCATCCATTTCTGATCCTTTTCTATGTCTTATTCAACTTTCTTTCAAATGTCACATTTTGGCTTTGATCGACCATCTTACCACCAAAATAAGAACGAACGAATCAAAAGAAAATCCACGATCCAAAAGACCGATCGAAGCGCATGCGTTTCCAGGATTCCCCTTCGTCGTTTGTGCTTCATTTAAACCAGTGCCCCCCCACCCCACCGCCTTTTTTGTGTCACGGACCAGTTGAGACAAGTTGCTGCGCTGTTAAGGGACAGGCAACCGTTTTTGGGTTTTTTTTTGCTTTGACATGGCCCGTTTTAAAGCGCCGCTGCTGACAACAAAGATGATGAGAGAGTCATTCAACATTTTATTCACCTTCATTCCTTTCAAACAGTGTTCTTCTACTGCACAACAGGAAGGAAAATAAAATAACACCGTAAAGGACGAAGAAATGGACCAATCAGGAAGAAAAAACGCAAACCTAATAAGAGTGAAGTTATGCTCCTCGTATGTAAGGCGTTAGCATCGTGGCTACTTGCAAAGGGGACACGATCGCTGTGAGCGACGAATATGCTCACGTTTCCGCGGGCGGGCTGTGCAAACTCTGCTCGCTTTCTTTCATGCTTTCCACTTGAGCACTCGGGTGCGACTTGTTTCAACGATTCAACAGGTTTCTTGTATCGCCTTGTTTTTGACGGCATAGCACGGACAACGGCTTCCTCCTCCGCATCGCCTGGGGAGGAACTTCTCCCGTCCATATCGCTTCATCGTCGGAAGTCACGGCTGCCCGTTGAGCAGCGCCTTTCGCTGTACGTTTGGTCAAGTGGTTCCCGACGCTTTCTGTTTCCTGTGCATTTCATTTATTGTTGACTTCAACTTGCAAAGCAACGATGGAAGGTGGACTCCGATTGGAGCGCACATTTGCGCCACGTCCGATGGTTAAATGTGCACAGAGCACAGCTGGCGGGTCTGTCTCTGCGCGGCCTGATACCGGCCCGCGGACCGGTGGTTGGGGACCAGATGTAAACCAGGTGAAGCAGTTTGGGGGGTGGTGTCGGGGCTCTTGCAAATGACCAGATTGTGCCTTGTTGTCTCAGAGTCTGCAGCCTGTTACGTGAATGGGAGTGCGCGCGTGGAGGCAGCAAAGCCTTACAGTAATACTGTTTGTCTAATGTTCATACGTGCCAGCAAGTTGTATGGTCTACTAAAAACGAAAACAAATCAATATCGTTTGTGAAATGTGTCACACTCTCTCAGCCTCCAGGTAGATCCAAGCATGTGACCATAGTTGTTAAAAAAACAAAAAAAAAAAGTGTGAGGGCACTTGCAATGTCGGTATTTGATCGGCACAACTACCTCGAGAATAAATATCGTGACGTGCATCACTCGACCGCCCTCCCCCCCAAATAAATAAATAAATAAATGCAATCCAAAATATACAAGCGGCGTTGATGAAAAGGTCCTCTTTGCTGTTCAAACTTGGATGCCATGCTCCGCCCAAACGGAATGGGGTGAAGGTGAAAAACCTTCCTCATTGCTGACACCTGCAGGTGGTTCGCTGCAACTGCCTTTGGTGGGGAAAAAAACTGTAATTGCACTTTAGACATTTTCACTCCCAAAAAGAAAGAAAGGCAACCTCAAGTCTCACTTCCAGTCCGCCTTGCAGTGAACAACTACGCAACAGCACGTACGAGGGGGGGTTGTCAGTGTACACATTTTTTAAACTTCGCACTTTCAAAGATGAGACATTAATTTTTGGAGCACATTTGCAAAACACAACTAATTGTAGCTTCAGTAAGTAGGTCAATCAATCAATCAATCAATAAATAAATTAGGGTGTCCCTTTTGTTCCACCTTGGACAAAAATAACCTCACTTGGTCGACGCGTGAGTGAGAAATATTTGCACGTCTATACAGCTAACGGAGCTACGCCTTGCACAGACGGCTTTTCCTCTCCAATATATCTGTACACTCTTTTTGTTGTTGTCGTCGTCATCGTATTTACACGCGGGGGACTGAGCCAGAAGCACTTGAACATAAAAGGCAGTGTGGAGTCGTCCTTGTTTGATCGTTTCCCCCAAATAAATTGCCACATTTGGGGGTCCAGCGCCTTGTTGATGCTCCCCAAATTTTCCGCTCACATTCTACTCATACTGTGCTGGTTCAAAAAGTGAGTCCGTGGTACTGATAATGTGTCCAAACTACGACTACAAACGACTTCCTCAAATGGGGGCCTCAGCTCAAATCGACGGCTCCCGAGAAAATGAATCACCGAGTCATGAGCCACACGTGACGCTCGATCCTGACAACGCGCAGGTGATGGCTCCGGAGAGGACGCGGCACCTGCCACCCACCACAGAAAAAGAAACACTCTCCTCTCCTTGAAATTGGCTGCCGCGTGCCTCACCCACTCTCAAAAAAAAGTAAACACCTCCCTCGAATGGATGCCTCCTTTTTTTTTTGCAATCGGAGAGGATCTGGCATATTTGTAAAGCTGACATTGACGCAAAGGACGCGTCAGAAAGATGGTCAACGTTTCAATAACAACAAAAGTCACAGAGAATTAGACGTCGGGTGCGTTCCCCGTTTGAGAAAAAAAATAAACGCCCTCCTCAAATAAATAATGCAACGGGCAGATGGAGACAACACCCCCCCGCCCCCAAAAACATTCCCTAATAGAGAGCTGGTCGTCAGATGAGTTAAAAACAAACCAAAAAAAAGGTTGGAAATGCCCGAGGCCACTATTTGAGGAAATCAACCTCACGTGCATCGAAGATAGCCTGTATGGCAAATTCATCACATTCATGTCACGCTCCATGAAAGCAAAATCCTCAGCATACAACGAAATCGCATTGAAGGCAAAGCAAAAAGAGGGATCAAAGGACCACCGCAAGACCACTAGTCAACAAAGCAAAAAAGAAGTAGAGAGCTAGAATCCACTCTTCCCTCCTCAAGGCATCGGTTTGTCCGAGTGGCATTTGGCCCTTTTTCTTTCCAATGTTTTTTTTTTTTTTTTTAATCCAAATCGATGAGGCCAAGCGGTGCGTTTTCCCCTCAGGCCTTTAGCGGCGATCGGCGCCATCATAGGGTGGTCGCCAGCCGCTCCTCCTCGGGCGCGGCCTCCTCGGTGGCGGGCAGTGACCTCCTGCATGGGCCGCCGCTGAACTCGTCGATGAGGCTGTCCAGATTGACATTGATGGAGGGGATCTCGTAACTGAAGATGTCTAATGTGTGGCGGGTGGACGGTGAATGAGAGGAGGACGTCGACAAAATGGAGCAACGTGGATGGGGATGAAGTGTACAAAATGAGAGAGAGCAGAAATATTATTTGGGGCAGAAGATTTGAACTCCAAGCGGGCGACGTAACCGTCGACCTTGCTCCGAGTGTCACGCTCCAGTCCGCGCCAACAAAAACCGTCGCGTGTCGACTGGTTGACGCCGCATCCGGTTTTCCCGGGTCACAACCAGGATATGGCATTTGAGTGACAAATTTCAAGCCCCGGTTGGAATTCGGCTCACGGTTCCCCCGCTCCTTTTATCTGCAATAGCGCGGATAGCGCGAATTCTCGGTTGCGCCACTTGACGGCAGCCTGGAAGGGCGAGGCACAGCCGCGAACCATTTTCTGCCCTTGGCGGGAGAAGGCCAAAGCGGTCCAAAACGCTCTTCTCCTTCTACACACTGCGCACGTGCGACTCGATGGTCTCAACTGGATTCGGCCGCTCAGTGTGAAAGGGTGACAAACAGACGGGAAGACGCACGGCCAGGAGAAAGGGCGCAGCGACACGACCAACAGTATGTTCCAAAGGGGCCCAAACTAACCATTTGGATGCGGATCGATACTTTTGTCCATAAAAATGCACCCGCAAGCGCCTATCTTTCCTCAACCCCCCCCCCCCAAAAACAGCCATTCATCGAGGGCCGGCGATTTCCAGCCTACACTCTGCCGCCGTCTCGGTTGGACAGAGCCACGGCCAGTCTGAGCGAGGGCCGCAGCGGCGCCACCCGTGTCTGATGTTTACCTGTTGACATGCTCTCCCCCGGCGACGGTCCATCTGCGAGGCCCTGCTCCGGCGGCGGCGGGGGCGGCGGGGCCTGGCCGGCGAACCCGACGGGGATGCTGGGCGGCTGCGGCGGGGGCAGGCTGGGTCTCTGCCTGGGCTTGGGGGCGGGCCGCGCTTTGGTGAGCGTCCCCGTCAGCGAGGGCGGGGACGAAAGGGAGCGGGGCGCCGCCAGAGGGGTCTGAGCCGGGGAGGAAGGGGCCAGCAACTGACCCGGGCTGCCGCAGAGCAATCCGTAAGGGGAGGGGGTGCTGGGCGGGGTGGGCGAAAGGCTGACCGGTGACGGCTGACCCGCGGAGCGCTCGCACGTGGCGCCCGGCTGACAGTACGGGACCTTGGGTGGCACGGGGGCCAACTTTTTGGAACCTGGGAGCACAAATCGCACGGCGTCAATTCCCGTCACCGCGACACTCGGAACCGCGCGAGACAAAGAGCCGAAGAGGACCTTTGCGCGAGCTGTGTGGGCTGTGCTCCGTGGGGTGGGGGCACTGGCCGCCGCTCGGCGGACTGCAGTGAGGGGGCACCGTTGGACCGGCCACTTGGATGCCCTTGTGGCCGATGACGGGGGACAGCTCGTTCCCCTTCAACGAGCTGGCAAAAGCACAAAGGCGCCAAGTTCAGTCCCGGCCGCCGCGGACGCGAATCGGAGACACCGTGATGAAAAGGCCACGCTGAGTTTTTCAGTATTTGCTTTGCGAAATGCACACGCACGATGGGTTCGAGATGCTATCATCATCATCATCGTCATCACAGAGTCTGGATTTATTTCCTCGCCGGTGACTGTTGAGCCAAGGCTTTGAAAAACCTTCTTCCTTCAATCCCTTTGGGGGCACTTTCGAAAGGTCGCTCGATAATGGCATACTTTCGTCTCCTGCTGAGTTCGCCGAGGGCGACACACAAACCAAGATCATCTGGAGTTTTCTGACCATGGAGGAAAATGCGACGGTCACATCTGGAAACACGAGTTTCTCATCCCATGGCATGATCAGCTCGGCCGGGTGAAGGTCCAAGGCCACATTCAACCTACTAAGTTGTCTGGTGACGTACACACACTCGTAGCACACGGACGGCATCAGTCTGAGGGACTGAAGGGATCAATTTCAGACCAAACCCAACCAGCCATCCAACCCAGCGAAAATGCCGTCCACGATTAACATAGCCATCCGACAGCCATTCTTCCAGAACGCAGGCAAAGGCGGGCAGAAGCGGCCGTCCCCGGGGCGTAGGCGGGGGGGACACCCTGAACCGGTCGCCGGCCCATCGCAGGGCACACGGAGGCCAACAACCACCCGCGCTCGCACTCACACCCAAGGACAATTTCGAGTGCTCCATTAACCCGCCACGCATGTTTTTGGAATGTGGGAAGCAACCGGAGGAAATTCTCGCTTTATGGCTCGAGTGGCGCAAGCATTGGTCACCTTGAAACGGAATCGTCCGATTCCAAGGACACGCGACATCCTTGGGCTGCAAGGTTACGGTTACGGTGCACCGGGCGTGTCGCGGGAAGGGGGCGAGGAAAACGGCAGAAAGAAAAGCCAGCAGGCGAGGCGAGGCGAGAGGACGGAAGGAGGGCGGCGCTCGCCCCCGGGGGTGTGTCATATTTACCTAGTCAGCCGGGGGAGTCCTCTCTCTCTGGCGCATGGACAGGCGGCCCACGGCAGGGGCGGGGGCGCGCAGGAAGGGAGGCTAGGGGGGTTGCCGAGCGACGGCTCGTGGCGGGCGAGCACCGGGGGGGGTTTGATGTAGAGCGGCGATGCGTTAGTGTCGGGCGGGGGGGCACGCGAACCGTCGCCGGGCGGGCTGTGCTTGGGGAAGTGCAGGCAGCTGGGCTTGGGGTTGGAATTGATGTCGAGCGCCGAGGACGAGGCGGAAGAGGAGGAGGACGGCGGCGGCGCTGGCGGGGTGAAGCCCGACCAGCGCTGCGGCGGGGGCGAGGCCGGGGGCTGCGACTCGGGGCCGGGCGCCACCGGACG